ACGCAGTCCTGTGCCACGTGCTCTAGGTGACCCTGCGTGTGCAGTGGGGTTGGACTAGATGATCTCTAGAGGTCGCTTCCAACCTTCAGCATTCTATGATTCTATGATTCTGCCCTTTGTCCTAGGCCAGGTTTCCTGTGCGTATTCTCTGCTAATTCTTAGCACTTTTCATTTATCAGATGTTCAGCCCGAAGCTTTCAGGTTCTCTGAGCCCCTTTTTGCTTAATCTGTCAATGGGCAGAGTCAAGCCATGTTTGCATTTGCAAGAGCTCCGAATGTGTTTGCATGTGTTTTCTTCCTGGCATAATCACTCAGCTGTGCCTTTGCTCTCGCTTTTCTCATCTGCTGCCAAATGAACTTCCCTCGTAACAAGACTGACAAGAGGAGGAATAGCAAAGGAGGAATAGCAAAATCAAGTGAGGTGCAGAACTCGAAGCAGTGCCAGCTTCAGCTGTGTTCCAGAAATGGCCTTCCTCTTATGAGAACCATCACTAACTCCATTAAGAATTGTGTGTGATTGTTGATGGTGTTTTTTTTTTAATTCACGTCAGGTATTTGATTTGACTAAAAAAGTCCTTCTTTTGATGAGGGTGTGGTTGGGTTTGCTTGATTCAGGGTTTTTTCCTCCCTTCTGTGTGTGTTTTGTATTTCCTGACACTTAGCTGTTTTCCGAACTACTCTATTTGAAGTAGCTTTACAAAAGAAAACCTTATTTTTTTTTCTTTCTTTTTCTTCTTTTTTTTTTTTTTGTTTAAAGTTACCCGAAGCATGAATAAGTATCATTGGCATTACAGCTTTATGGCTTTTTTTCCCCCCCAATGCTGCTTAATTTCACTGGATGTTCAATGTGCAAGTATGTCAACCTTCTAATTTTTTTATTTATTTATTCTCAGCTATTTGTGTGTCTTGCCAGCAGGCAGATACTGAAATAAGTAACTCTTTTGGCTGGAATTTCCAGATTTATGGTCCTGCTTATTCCCATGGGCCACCTTGCAGAGTCAGCTTTGGGCGCGTGCAAATCGAAGCATGGTGTGGAGCTGCAGTCTGGTTCTTAAAACTAGCTGAATCCGAGGGCACTCTGCCTGGCGTTAGAGATGCTGCTGCTTTGGAATGGTTTCAGGTAACCTGTCTGTGGTGCCTCTGTGCTGAGGGCTGGATTGTAAAGCTTCACAATGAATCACTTTCCAGCACGGCAGCGCATCAGTTATTGCAGCCAGCTGTGTTAACTGGAGCTGTGAAACCAGCGGGGCTCGGGAGGACACGTCTTGCAGTAGGAGTTACCTGGCACAGGGGCCTCTTGCTGCCCACACCAGCGTGTGCTGGTCAGTGCTGGCAAGGAGGACCCTTGGGCAAGGAGCAGCTCGCGCGGCCGTCACAGGCGCCTTCAGAAACTTGCTTTGAGAAGGGCAAAGACTATGGCAATCACTGGCAGCTCGCGCGGTATGGTGTTTTTTTGTTTTTTTTTTTTTGTTTTTTTTTTGTGTGTGAATATTTGTCCCACTTCTGTCCTCACCTTTGCCCGAGCTCTTCCAGGACGCACGTCGTGGTTTCCCTTTCCTGCAGGGTGTGCACGAGGACGCTCCAGTGAGAGGGATTCCCAGCGTGTCGCTCGGCGCGGTCCTGCGGCGGGTGGGTGCCCGGAGCGAAGCTGGGCTGCCCGGGACGGGTGCTGCTCCGGCCTGGTGGGGAGGGAGCGCGTTTGTCATCATCTGCCCCTGCTGCTCGGAGCTGCACGGGTGGAGAGGTGATGCATGGATTTGGGTCCTGAGCTTCCACTGCAGAAGTTAGTGCCCCCTACCCTCCTTTATGGCGATAGGAGTAGAATTACGTCCTTATCTGGTGCCAGGAAGAACGATAAAGAATCGCATTTGCCAGCTGCTCTGGGATTTTGTTTCCTTTCTGCTATTCATATACATGAAGAGCAACACATTTGAAAAAAAACCCTCAAACGCACCCCCCAAAAAAGACTGCCAAGCGACCTTCTCTTCCCCACCTGAGGGCATGTGAACAGAACTGCAGTTTCTCAAATGGGAATGGTTCCTGACAACCAGGGATCGCACCCCTGAGATGTCCATCTGCAGCAGCTTTAAATCCTGGTGGTAGCTGAGAGAACCTGAGCTTGAGAATAATAAAACTGGAATTTGTGTAAACATGGCTGTACTGCCACTTTGTTGAATCTTAATTTATTTCAAAGAAAGGTGAATGCTTCTGTAAATACTTCGGCTTTCATCCGCGCGAGTTAGGGAAGAATTCCAGGACGTTGCCCAGTGCCGTGGTTCTTGTTTCAAAGTGCCCGGCCATGGTTTTTCCTTGTTTTCCTGATGGATAATGCTGGGGAAAATTCCCAGCATTGAACTTGCTTGTAAAACAAGCAGCCATGCTCAGTGTGGCTGTTTGGAAGCCTACTGTGGAGGATAGCTTTCTCCTCTAAAAGTACATGTCAGTCAACGGGGAGAAAAAACCCACAATCTTACTGGTTATTTCTAATTCTGTAGTGATCTAATAATCCTGGGCATCTGTGTTGTACTGGGATTGTTCAACTACACTCATTTGAAAACCAAAAAATTCCCAAGTTAAACATTTTTTCTTTTTTTGCAAATGAACCTTCTTTCTTTTGCCTAATACCAGGAATGATGTTTGCTGGCTTCTTCCTAATGAATTTTTTCTTGTTTGAACTTGAACTGTAGTTGTTCAAAGAAAGTCTGACCTGAAAATAAACTCCTTTAACGTGAAAGTGTCTCTTGACTTTGTTCCTCTTCCTCTTTTCGCTTCGTAGGCAATTTGTTTACTTGGTGGACTTTTTTAATCGGGCTGGGACTTTCCAGTGACGTTTCCTGAGCTGGAAGGAGAGGGGAGTTTTTCCCTCCTGAGCAACACTGGGAATTTCCATTTTCCAAAGCTTCCTGCATACACCTTGTAATTGATGATCCGCGTCTAGTTTGTTTTTCTTTTTCCTCCTCAAAGAGTTTCGCTGGGGCAAGCTTTTTATGTGCTCTCCTGCCCGAGGTCCTGAGCTCTCTCGTGCCTGCTGATAGCGACGGCAGCGCAGCAGCCTGCCGTGCCTCGGGCGTTTTGCTGGGCTGTCCCTTGTGCCTTCACGTCCTTCCTAGGTACCTGTTTCTCAGCATTATTATTTCATCCCGCTTATATTTTGTCGTTAGTTGCATGCTTTTCTTTTTTTTCTTTTACTGCCAAGGCGGGTAAGCTTCCTCATTTACTCTCCCCTATGCCCTCTTGCAGCGAGCCGTGCTGCCTGTCTTGTGTGTTCAAACTGCTCACCAGCTCCTGCTGCCACCTTGGCCTACTTCTCCTTTGACCTCCCTGGAGCTGGGTCTTCTTAAATGTTCCTGATCTATTTTAACAATTTGCAAAGAGAAATGCAAATAAAACTGAACAAGCTGCTCTTACAATAATGCTGGTGTAACTGTGTGCTGCGCAGTGTCCCATAAGAGATGGGGAAAATCAATCAGCTACTGCTTACACTTGCTCTTGAAAGCTGGGTTGTGGAATACCAAATGTCATAGGACATGACAGGTGATGCAATATTTATGAAATAGATGCAAGTCCCGAAAGCAAACTGTGTTGTTTTTTTCTTTTAATCATAGAAAGACAAATATTAGAGCAAGATTGTTAAATAGAATCCTGCTCTCCCTACCTTATTTTTGGCAATGACTTTAATAACAGCTGCTTATATTTGTGTGGAATTTAGAGCCGTCATAGGATGTGTTTTGTGTATTAATTGAAAAAAAAAAACAAATAAACTTGGAAATTGAACAAGGGTTAAAAAGAAATAATAAAAATGAAGGATTGACCTGAATATTATGAGCATAGGATATACCACACCAGATCCTCTCATTTGTTCAACAAGATTTGAGTTTACATATTTCATTAAAGGAAATAATTTCCCTTATAAAGAGATTAGTCCATTCCTTACTGTCAGTGATGCATGGCCAATGTACAGTCAAATTCAAGTCATAAGCAAAAGGCTAGTTTGCCACAAGCTTTATGAAAGCTGTTCTGAAAACAAAGGTTAATGCTGAGCTGAACTGAATAGAAAGTCAAGCTAAAAAGTTTTTAAAATTCATTTTTAATTACACCAACTAGGCAGATCTTAGTAAGTGCGGATAATCTTTTTATTAAAATACCTATCAAGAACAATCATAAAATTTCAGTCCAAGCAAATGCCAGGCCTGTTTCTTACACTTCATTTGGACCTTAAGCAAGTGAAGTAACGGATTTGTACGTTGTGTAAAGTACAAGGCATGGAATGCATTTCCTTTATGTGCTGATACAAACCAGCAGTGAAATTGCGCAACTTGTTGATGACTACAGGAGTTCACGCAGCCCTGGAGAAATTCCTGGTCGCGGTGTTCAATCATCAGCACTTATGGTTGGGAAATCAAGTGCACACAGTCTTTGGCCTTGGTTATTTGAGCTGTGTTTTGAGATAGGGATGAATACTTTGCCTCAGAAATACTTATATTTAGCTAACAGACAAAACAAAGCAGGGTCAAAACAGCATTTGTTTCTCTGCAAGCGGGTTAAATGGTACAATTCATATATTCTGGTGGTAGTGATTTGCACAATACTTTGGAAATAAAAGTTTCTAGGTTGGACATAACAAACCAACTTCTTATTGCACAAAGTACCTTCAGTGGAGTGACTTGTCACTGCTGCCTGCTCGATGGCATCGCTTTCATATCATGTGTCGCAGGCAGCTGGCTGATGCAACATGGGGAAGTCCTAACAAAAGCTTCCCCTTTCCATGTACTAAGGATGTTTCCTTCTGATGGCTTTTCATTTCTCATTATTTCTCTTGTGGAGTGCCACAACTTTCTGTTCTTGAGGGCCCTCCTAGTTAGTGGGCTTTTTCTGAGTAGTGCTGCAGTTTGAAACTCTTTCTTCAGCAGTAAATCAACAGAGGGGTTTTGTGCGTACGACGTGCTGGTGTGGGCAGTGTGGTTGTGCTTTGAAATTCTTGTTACGTTTGGAAACCTATTCGATACCAAGTGGGTCCCAGTGCAGAGGAAGCAGCAGTGAGTCCAGGAGCTGCTGTATGAGTGGAGGACTGCACGAGGGGCCCCAGGTTGCCTCGGCAAGAAAGTGTGAACGGGCCCATTAGCTCTTTCTTAGAACTGTTTAGTAGAGACCGTCAAACTGGACACGTTTAATATTCAATGTTAAGCAGTTGCTGTTTATAGTGGAACCATCCTTTGCACCCCACGCGTCTGAGAAAAGCCATTTCACGTTTCCCATCTGTATTTGTAGTTGTGCCACCCACAGATGAAAGAAAACAAAACCAAGCTGTGTGGTGGCAGTGGGTGCCAGTACCAGGTGTGGGTAGATCAGAAGCCCCCATGAAGGCTACCACGGTTTCCTCACTCTGATCTGTCCTCAGGCTGCCCTGGTCTTCAGAGAAGATTGTTATCTTGGTCTTCTCCACATGGGAAAATCTAAAAGACACAACCATAAAACTCCCACTTCTACTCAAGTATGAGTGAAGCACAGGTCTTAAATGTAGTATAAGCTTTCTTATACTGGAATAATGTGTATCTTTATGAGATAAGCTTCACTCAAGCTGACCTGAATCTCCTTCACATCCTTGGTTGACGATGAATCCGAAGGCAGCCAAGCCTCTGTTTTCATACCTGGCGCCCAAGCAGTCGCTCTCCTGCCCGGGCCCTGCCCGTTGGTGCCCTGCCGCCCTCCCCGGCGCTCACGCGCTCGCCTCACGCAGCCGCCTCGCTGGAGCTTCAGCTACCGAGCGGGGAAGGAAGGTCATCTAGCGAGAGCCGCGTCCTTTGGGAAGCTGGTACGACTACAGTGTGAACAAAGACGGGAATAAAACCAAGTGGGTTTTGTTCCAGGATAAAATGCCTCTTTTCTCCCTTTTTTACTCCCTTTGTAGCAATCAATTTTGTACGTGAGAACCAAATAGTCAAAGGCAATCAGATTTCCTATTTTAAAAGCAGGGCTCTGTTCATGCTGTTCATACTCACTTGAGACGCACTCTAGATCTGTTTCATTGTCAGTAACTTATGCTTAATAAAGCATTATCCTTCAATTTATGACTCTTTGCTGATGTGTACAAACATTTGCTAGCATGCTTTTCTAATTCTCCTTGACAGTGAGTATGTAAGGCCTGATTCACACAGTCCTTTAAATCAGATAAAAATCTTTCACTTAACTTTACAAAGCTTAGAAAGTGTCCCATTGCGGGTCTGCTGCAAAACATCCAATTACAGTTAAAACAAAACAAAACTCACTTTAGCGGATCTAACTCCCAGTGTGTGGAAGGATATATGGAGACTTTTCATAAAGGGAATTTTTGAATAGCTATATCTGTAAAGCAGAGGTAGATAAGGGAATTCACAAAATGACTTTACTGAAGTAGAGTTTTCCAGCCTGGACCATTTCAGTATAAAGGTTGTTAGCCAAACCCAGAAACCTAAAACACTCCATGTTGTCATCATGGAAATTTATTTCAGACAAGTGCAGAATCATCCTCATACCTCTTTGTCATGCATCTTAATCTCTTTGAGTAATTCCTTAGAGGTCCGTCTGGACAATCAGTTTCTTACCCATACAAGTGAGGTTTGAGTACCGGGAGAGTAGACTTGCCTGTGTTAATCTGTGTTAATCTAGCTACCGCAGGTATATTCAGCAGAGGAAAGAAGTGGCATGGACTTCAGCTGTAGCTGTACAAGCAACAGCAAACTTCAGGTAGCAGGTTCTCTGAGGCAAAGTCCTTTCTGTTGCATCCATCATACGCTGTTACTAGGCTATGAATCCTAAAGAGTAGTAAGAAAGTGAAAAGAGAGCCTTTTCCTTAGAAATGTCTATGGAACTCCAGATATATGCTATTAAAAAACCCCTTCCTTTCTCTAAGGAATACCCAGAATAGATGAATTTATAACCTATGCAATGTCATTGTTTAGAATAGTGGTCACCAACTTATTGTCAAGCTTCTCAGGAGCAATGATGCTGCAGAAATGAGGATCTATTTGAAATTATGCCTAAGAGTATGGATCTGGTATTGTAAGAAGAACAGGGAGATGTGAAGTTACTTCCCTATTTTCTCATTTGCTGTGGCAACTAGGATATTGCTCTAGTCCTAGACTTGGTTTTGAGTGAGTTTTTCCTGGAAGGAGTAGTACGTCAACTTGTAAACATGTTCCACAACACATAATGACAGACAGCAAAACTAACCTCATACAACTGCAAAGGCAACATATAAACACCCGATTTTCTGTATATATATTTGCACACATACCTTTTGCCATAATTTAATCTGTATACAATATAAATACGCAATCAGATCTGACAAAACAGCCTGCATGGCTATGAGACTGATGACATTGCTGCACTCAGTATTTCTTTGCCTTTGGCCAGTTTGTAGGGGCATTTTCGAGAATGTAAGCACTTCGAGAGACTGTGGTCTTCTTTTATTTTTGTACAACAGTGTGCATTTTGTCCAATACAGGTATCTAAATAAAAACAGGTTTGTATATACTGGTATTATAGCTCATACATGTATTATTCTTCACAGGCTTTATATCATAGATATCCATAAGCTCAAATTTATGATTCAGCAAGAAAGTCAGATAGAATATTACCTTTGGGCAATATTCTTTGTGTGGCATGTCACGTGAGAAATGGATTTTCTTTCATTGCTGCTGTAGCAAATCAGAGCTTGGTCTTCATGTAAGCAGCAGGTTTGCAGGTTGCAACGTTCTCGGGTATTTCAGGCGGTAGGGAGCAGCAGCCACCAGCAGTTACTGACTGCTCTGGAGTCGACCTCTCAGACTGAGCAGGGCCTCAGTTACTCTGCTGCTTTCAACCGGAGCCTCCATTCAGGAGAAGGTTTTTACTAAGGTTTCCATGTTCACGCAGCAGAGCCACTAGTAAGTTTAGCAGCAGAATCCTGCCTTGCGTTGTGGGCAAAGACACACAGCAGCCCAGCTCCAAAAAGTGAGTCACAGTTCCACTCACATAAACCAGGTCGGATGGCGAATTTTTAGTTGTCTGATTACTTTATCCATACCCTGACCACTCTATTACCACTGTGATTTAATTCCGTGCATTGGATGATATATAGTTGAATGGTACGCCCGCCCGGACGGGCACTTTCTGCCCTGTGCAACCGCAGAAAGAATTTAAGACAATTTACAATTAAAATAAAGACTTGAAAGTGAGCAACTTACATTGCATTTGTTATTCTGTCAGTTTTACTGTTCATGTAGGAAAGAGGGTGTAAGCTACATTCTACTATATATCTGAGGTCTTTTTTTCTTTTTCTTTTTTTTTTCTGTTGAAATTTCTATTAAGGTCTGTGTTTGACCTCTCTGGCACCAGGAACAACTCTGGAAGCTGAACTTGCTATTTTCATGTTTCCTGTTTACTTTGGATAGCAAAAGTAGCTGCATTCAGGCTTACATAAGCTTAAGTCTTAAGTAAGGTTGTAGTGCCCCCTCATGTCCTGAGGAGGAAAGACTGATTCTGTTTACTGCAGAATCCTTTTCAAATGTCATTTTATTTTTTCAAAAATACCAGATCATTTAAAAGTTCGTTTAGACTTCCCTTTTTGGCACTGTATACACACAAAGAACAAAATACATTTCATTTGAAGGCTCTTTTTCCTTTTCAAACAGGGAAAAAAATTGTTTCAGAAGCAAGGTTCTTAATTATTTGTTGACACTAAACAAGCAGGCATTAATTAAAAATGCTGAGCTCTTAGCATTTTCTTTTTGATTTTTTTTTTTAGAGTCAGTGCATGCTCAACATTTTTGAACACAGAAGCCTACATATGTATTAGAGAGCAAAACCACAAGCAGCCATTACTTTATCTTCAATTAAATGTAAAAGTGTATTTTCACCGTATTTCACAATTTTGCTTCTGATGCTATTAGAATTTAGCTACTACTAGCGCAAAGATGACTAGGCTAACAATGAAGTTCAAATATTTATTCAGAACTAGATAGTGCTAACCTCTCCCCACAAAGGCTCTACATATGCCGTATGAAGTAACATTGTCAAGTTAACCTGAACATACAAATAATGAATAAAACACTGCTGTGATCATAAAATAATAATCAAGCATTGAATTAATTGAATTGGCAAATAAAATCATATTTTTCTACATTACATTTTAAATATCATAATTTCATAGTTCATAGTCCTAGCTCATAGGATCAAGTTTCTTTCCAGGTTAAGACTGTTACCATGCAGTGGAAAAATAATCCTGGGTGAAGCATGGTTGCATACATAGCTTTTTAATAATTATTTTCACCTAAAGAGGTTGTAGTTTCAGTTTAGCAAGTAATCCATTTTTTTAGGCAGTTGTTTATTAGAGAGTGAAAAATGCCTGTTTCAAGGAACATCCTGAGGGTTTACTTCCATATTGCATTCAAAATTTCTTTTGAATACATAGAAAATAATATAATACTAAACCAGAACAGTAATAGAGTTGTTGACCTATATTTGTACAGAAAAAAAGCCACATTACACACTCTTCTTTCAGGCAAAATGCCTGTTTGTTCCTCCTTTGAACAGATGAGATGACTGATGTACTTAAATTAGTTATTTGCAATATTCATATATGTTCATATATTATAAGTACAAGATCTAAATCTGTAATAATTTGGGTAAAGGATAACTTTGTTAGTAAGAAAAAAAAGTAAAAAAAAAAATACATATTTAAGTCAAGGGAGAAAACAACCTTAGCCCTTAACAAACAATGCAACTGAACTGAAATCACAAAGGATGAACTTCATCTTGGGAAGAAGATTCCTTGCTATGAGAAGAATTTAATACGGCAGCTGGATACCATGATGAGCATATATGCACGAGAATGCCTCTAGGCAAAAGGGAATTGCTCTAAAGAGCTAAGATAATGTTATTTCATATATTGCTAAAATACACCTGCAAATGCTATGTATACTGTATGTATACAGTGAGGCCTTTATTCCTGAATTGTTTTTGAGAATGATTGGTTTGACTAAAAAGAAGATAGTCACCTGCAATTAATTTGTTAAAAACTGTGGTGCCAAGTGAAAGAATTAGTTAAAAAGATTATAATAGTACAATTTTGGGCAATAGCCAGGTGTCACTAGTGGTCCTAATTGAGAGAGTTTCCCAGATTCTTGGATGAATGTGCCCCAGTCACCATCATCCTGTTCTAGACTGGCACAGCGGATTCTCAAAACAGCCCTCATTGCTTGGGCGGAATCAAGTGAAGAAAATGAGACCAGAAAAAATACTAAGAATTAATCAGCAGCTATCCAGAACACACACTGAAAGAGCCTTGTCTGT